ACATGAATGCTTCTTCCTTATTATCCCAAAACTTTGTCTCTCACAGTTTCAGGCATGTTCTTTTCCTATTAGAGAGCAAATTATAATAAAGGCTGTCTTCTGCTTTTGTGTTACACTTACTGCTGGGGCGCACGGGTCTATCCAAAATACATTTGCATATTGTCTGGTTGAGTTTCTGCTGTTATGTGCTAGAAAAATTTTGTGGAGGGCAGGAGAGTAGTTGGGAAGATAAGAGGTGGTAAAGAAACACCTCCACCCACCCTGGAGATTAGTTCTGACTTGATATATGACGAGAAACACAAGTCTCACAGCAACAGAAGAGTAAAAAGACTTCCTGCAAGACAACAATGTACTTTTTACTGTTTCTTTTAAAACTAAAATGAATCTGGATGCTCTATTTCTAAATTATTTTATATTACACTCAGAGTCCCAGCCTGTGTGTGCCACTCAAAAAAGACTAGAAAAAGTGGAAAAGAAGAATGTCCAAAGCAAGAACTCCCAACCTTTTTAAAAATGCAACAGCACGCACGACACTCTATCACTGTTACGCAACCCTTCCCTACTCTCTTCCTAAAACTGCTGCTTGGCACACAAATTTAAAGGAAACCAGTATTATTATCATGTTTTATCTGTCATAAAAGGACTTTCCCTAGGTTCATACACATAAACCAGAGAGTGGATCAGAAACTCATTTTGCATGCAGGTAACTAAGAAATAGATTAAGATCGGGCAGGAGACGCACTGTGAGATCAGATAAGAGGTACAATTGATTTTCACATCTAGATTCTGATTTCACTTCATTGCATAGTGGTTATACCTTCATTTCATCCAGAAGGGTGTCTCTGACAATGTTGAGATAGTTAACAGGACATTATTTTACAAAAATGTTTTTCCTGAGTTTTCTAGAAAACATCTGTTCCATCCATGATGGGGGGCATGTAGTGTTTCAAAAAACACACGCTGCTTCCTGAAGATACCTGGAGGCAACCTAGGGTGTTGCAGCACCAAAACGGTAAAGCACTAGCCTAATGAATACGAGGGAGAGAAACAACCAAGACTGTCTATATGCTGGTCAAAGATAACTTACTCATACCTATAATGAGAAATAACTCCTACGTTAACATCCTCTAAAAATCTGAAAGTGTTATTTACGTCTTGTAATAAATACTAAAAAATAACTCACTTTGAAAACTTAACAGACAAATCACTCTCAGGGCTACAAGGTGAATTTAAAATCTTATGTAACATTGAACCATACACTTAAAATTGGTTAAAAATGGTAAATTCTACGTTATATATATTTCACCACAACTTTTTAAAAATCATATGTAATCCCTCCTCTCAATCCTGTTGGTTTCCTCTGAAAAAACAAAATACGTCTATTAGTCTACATTAAAGGATGAGAAATGTGTTTAAATTATAAATTACCAAAAATTTTAGTGATTTGTATTAAAGCTTTCTGATTTCTTAAGGTATTTATTAGATATTCTCCATCTCCAAGGAGGACACAAACAAATGATAAAAGCTTAAACTACAGTAAGAAAGACTTAGTTTTGACATTAATTCAAACTAGAAAGATAATTAAACACTACAACAAGGTATCATGCAAATCTCTGCCCTCAGGGATGCAAGAATAAGCTATCTTGGAAAGGTTAAATGCAATTCCACAGGAAAAACTGGAATGAACTAGAGAATCTTAAGCCAGCATCCAGTTTTAGAATTCCAAGTTCTGTACTTACAGCCCAATAGAATGTCTCTGCAAGACATTCCACCTATAGAAAGTTATACTAAAGTCACTTCAGTTTAGCTTCAGATATTGGATTCCCTCACCACCCCCAATTATTCACTTTATGTAGTCACTTAGGAACTGAAAATTGACTACTTTTGTTAAGAGGCAATTCCACCAATTTCCAGCAGCACAACTGCCAGCTGAGGTATAAATACTACAAAAACGCTTAAACTGAAGCAATACTGGGTTCTACATTAAACAAACAGAAATATCTACATAGTACACATCTAACCTACTACTAAAAAGCAAAAAAAAAAACCCCAAAACCTATGTTTACAGGGTAGGTAATTCACAAGGTTAAAACTCACAATTTTGTCCATTTTTCAACAGCTTCTTAAAAAGTTGTTACAAACAACAGAAAATAAATTCTTACTTTTGAAAACAAGGCATACTTTGTCCTTCCGACTGTGGTTTCATTTTAGAAGTCTCAAGGCCTTCATTTTTAAATAATCATTTTTATTTTACCATATTATTTTTTAACAGTCACTAGACAACTGAATGGTGGTTATTTATTACAACCCAAAGCAGGCTTTTATGAAGTCACAGGAAGGTTAATCATCTCAAATTCAACAGGTTAACCACAGCAGTTTGAGAGGTGTTTTGCCAACCTATACTGGGACTATCTCAACAGTTCCCAAAGTTAGACATTAAATGACACTTAAAAACAATACGTTTCCAGACTCCAGATACTTATTTAACACACACAAATATTTTGAGCAAGTACACAGCATGCACATAATTTAACTAGATTTTATTAATTATGATAAGTATTTGTTTAAAACAAAAATCGAACAAGACAAATTTAGCCAGGTCAGCATAGGAATCAAAATATAATATTGGATTACGGAGCTAACTGCTTTCATTATAAAGAATAACAAGCCTTACTTCCTTCAGTTCACAAATTTTGCATTTTATAATCAAAGAAAACAAAGAACATGACTTTCACAGCCAAAAAATAAGGTAATGTGGCTTACAGCTGAGTTATCACTTAATTACCTGGGTTTCTAACACGCTACTGACTTCAACTGCTTTAAAACCAGAATACATTTTTTTAATGGCTCACTCCTTTGCTAAGAAAGGTATCATACCTTGTTTCATATGGAGATAACATCTCATCAGAACGCATGCTACTCTGTGATGTTGAGCTTAATAAATTTTATAAAAAATTCAAATAAAATTTTTATAATGCAACTGTAATGTTTATTTTTTTCCTTATCCACACTGGGCCTTACCTTTCACAATACCTAAAAACAAACAATCTCAGATGTTAAACATACACACTTTGAGCATATAAAATTCACTACGTTGGTTTTGTAGCTATAATTGTACTAATAAATACTGACTCTAAAAAACTAAAAACTTATTAGGTCAGAACTTCAATTGTACAACTCACAAGGGGGTGGGGAGAAATAATAATCCTCCCCTACCAAACTAGCAGCAACAAAATGCCAAGTTTCCTATAATGAACTAGTGTAAACAGGAAGAAAAAGAGCTGGGGATGGGAAGCAGGCAGGCAGGATACAATCCTCCTCAAGATACAGTTTTACTTCTAAATTTCACCAATGCAATACCTCTTCCGAGTGTTTTCAATAACCCCTGTCACTCTCTATCAAACACATAGGCTGGTGTTCAGAAAACTACTGCAGGCTGTAGTAGTCCCTGTCTGAGATCATGTGGACATAAAAGATACAAGTAGGGATCCCAAATGCTGCTTTAATTATGAAGACTATTTCCTGCATTCAAAGTTTTCTGAACATCTAGAAACTCAATCCCATTTTCACTGTAACAATCATCTTTAAAGATAAAACAGTAGTACCTACCAATGATGCTGCACAGAAAAAAAATTCACATCACCTTTGGTGCCACCACAGCTACAAGGCTCCGAAGAGCAAGATTAGCATTACTCAGGATAGGGCTTGATGGGGAGTGGGATAAAGACTAGGCTTCTTTTTCTGGCATTGCCTGAGGCATTCAGTGGACATGAAATAAAGGGGAGGCAGGTTGTATAAGTGATGCCAAGAGAAACAAGATTCCACATGCCAGGGGACTGAATGCCCAACACAGAGGCAAAGGGCACTTATCTCATGGCTTTCTGACCAAAAAAAGATGAGTTGTTTTACCTGAAATCCTTTTAAAGGAAGTCTAATGGTCTCCACTTTATCACTCATCCTGAATGAACTCAACAACCCCCTCCTCAGAGAAAAAGGGGAAGCCCTACTTATCAGAAAGAGCAAGTGCTAAATCCAAAGCCAAGAGACACTCCTTTAGTCTAAGTTTCATCGTCCCAATTCAGTTTTCTACAAGGAGACTCCATGTCAAAAAGACCTGGTTCCTAGCCTAAGTCAAGTTCTCCATTTTTCTAATCATCTACCAACCCAGTTTTCTTTCCTAAACTCCTCTGGATAAGCCCCTCTTCATTCCCGCTTTCTGGAGCGAGATTTACAACCCCCACAAAGAGTTCCCTCCCGCAAGGGAATCTCCACTCCTTCACTTTTCCTAAGGTTTTTCCCAGACGCTGCCTCAGGTCTAGCACTTCCGATCTCTCATTAGTAGATCCCACCCCACCCTCCCCCGGCCCAACTCATCGGAAAGTCATCTTTCTTACCGTACTCACTTGTCCTCCTCCATAATATTCTTCCCTTTTTCCTATCAGTCCTCGAATGGACGGACGAACACACACACACACACACACACACGCACAAATAATCTGTTCTCAGCTCCTAACTCCCAAGTCTCACCCATGCCCGAGGCTCTCGCATTAGCACCTATTTCTCTCCCGGAGTTACCCCTCATCCTTGTCGTTCTCACCCGCTAACTCCACACCCCAAGCTTTTTTCTACTCCACAAATTCAGATTTCCTGTGCTTTTTACTCTTAGTCAACACCACAGCTCTCTTCCCCCCAAGGTCTACCCCATGCCTCGATGCTCAGAAGTCTTTTCTCCTCTTCCCACGTTCCGCGGCCGCTAATACTCCGCAGTACCTTAGGATCAACCCCCACCTCCCTTCCGTCTCTCCTGCCCTCCATGGCCCTCAACTCTCCTTCTCTGTTCCCTCTAGCCCTGCTCAGTGCCCAAATTTCTTCCATGGCCTGGGGAAAGGGGTGCCCCTCAGTGCCCGCTTGGCCCGCCCTGCCGCCGGGCTCGGTGTCCCTTCCCTTCCCCTCGGGGCCCCGAGGCCGCTGCCAGCGCTGGAGCGGCGGGGCCGGCTCACCAGTTGGTCATGTCCAGGAAGAAGGCGCAGCCCGCCGGGTTGAGCTGGAAACCGAGCAGCCGCTGGAACTCGGA